AATACTTTTTGTAACAATTAACCTTAATAAAAAGAATAAAAAATATACTCATATTATATGAAAAATCAAATTTTTTTTTTTAAAAAATATCTTTTTATTGGGATTGTCTACAAAGAGACTATTTATATATTGTACATGGAGGTCATAATCATTCCCACTCATTAGATATCAAACTGCATGAGTTGGGGTAAGTCACGAAGTTTGAGAATTTTTTTTTGCTGTTTTTTTTTTTTTGAAACTGTGTGCCTATTCAATGACACTCTTACAACTACTCATTTTGAAATTTAAGGGACAATAATGATTGTGACTTCCATGTGCAAAAGATAAAGGAAAAAAATGATATAAGGTTGCAACCTTAAAATGTAGAATTACAGATGCACCTCAAAAATCCATCGAAAAAGGTTATTTCAATGTTGAAATTTTTTCTAATTGATCATCTCGATATGGAGATGTATGTATATACAAAAAATAAATAAATAAATAAAATAAAATAAAAAAAAGAAGAAGATTTTGGGTCCCAAATATAGTTCGTCTTATAATATATTATCTAGACCGTCCATTTTCAAGATTTTTATATGTTTATAGATCTATTTGATTTTAACCATTTTTGGAGTATAAAATTTTGGAATTAGATATGACAATAGATTTTGAGATAATCCTAAGAAAGTTTTTCACCAAAATTATATGTTATGATACAGTTTGGAAGTGCGCCTTAATTGGATTGTTTAAGGTTCACCATTCCTTTTTTCTATCTATACAGAATGCTTTAGTTTGATGATTCATAAAGTGGAAGGTTGTGGGAATTTCTCTGGTTTTAAAGTGGCTAAGATGGGTCCAAGAGTTTCTCATTTGCACTATACAGATGATACACTTAGTTTTTATGAAGCAAATGAGAAACAAGTGAAAAACATTGCTCGATTTTTAGCTTACTGCGAGATGGCTTTGGGTTTGAAAGTCAATTTTCATAAGACTTCAATGATAGGTATTAACTGTTCTCCGGCCTTGATTCAATATTTGGCAAATCTTTTGGGTTGTTTGGTGGGCTCTTTCCCTTTTACTTATCTGGGAATGTCAATCTCTTATTCTAGGCACACTATAGCGGTTTGGGATAAGATGTTAGAGAGAGTCCAAGTGAATTTGGATCTTTGAAAACCGAAATACCTGTCTATAGGTGGTAGGGTTACATTGCTAAGTTCTTGTTTAACTAATTTACCAATCTACTTGATATCTCTTAATGACAGCCTCAATGATAAAGAAAATTGAAAGAATGATGCGTAATTGTTTGTGGGGGTTTTTTTGAGAAGAAAAGAGTATCTCTTACTTAGGTGGGATCGTATTTGTACCCAAAAGAGTGAAGGTGTTCTTGATATTAGAAAGATAAAATATATGAATGAGGCATTGCTTTGTAAGTAGTGGTGGAGAAGTTTTCAATATACAGATCAGCTTTGGTTTCAAGTATTGTCTTCGAAATATGGCCTGGATTGGTAAGGAATGTGGTTAGGAGAGGGTAGAAATAGAGAAATATCTTCTCTGTGGACATCCATTTACAGATATAGGCCAATAATTGAGAGTTATTTTCGTTGGAATGTTAGTTGTGGTGACAACATCTCTTTTTAGCATCATAAGTGGATAGGTGATGCCCCACTAAAGCTTACTTATCGAGAAATTTTTGCTAAGGTTTCGCAACCTAATGTTAAGGTATCCGATATGGTTGAAGTGTGAGGTAATCGTGTTGCTTGGAGTATTAATTTCCCGTGTAATAGGTTGAGTGCAGATATTTATCTTCAATGAAACAATTTAATGGGTATCTTCGATGCAGTTTATATTTCCCAGGGGTTGGGAAGTTGAGTACGATGGGTATTGTTGGTCAAGCCTTGTTAGAAGCTCTTTTTTCACGATTGATGGAGACGTCTTTACCTACTGTAGCCAAAGTGTGGAAATGACATGTTCCCCATAAGGTACAGGTGTTTTTATGGATAGCTATTCAAAATAAGATTCTAACGGTGGATAATGTGATTAAGAGGGATAAAATTTTACGTAACATATGTTTGATGTGTAAAGCAGATGAGGAATCTGGGGAGCATCTTATCATCCACTGCCACGTTGCCTCAAGAATTTGATATTGGTTATTTGGGCTACTTGGGGTTTATGCTTCACTGCCCCAATCCGTGATGGGTTTAGTGTCATAGTTAACCTTTAATCATTTAGCTTCTGGGGGTATTTTGGTATGGCAAATAGCGAGAGGGACTACTATATGAGAATTATAGAAAGAAAGAAATAGGCAAACTTTTGAAGGAGAGAGTTCATCTTTTGATAGACCACTGAGCAAAGTCAAACTGTCTATCTGGTCCTTGCTCTCAATTACTAAGGAGGGTTGGGGGATTTCACAGCTAGATGTTCTGTTGAATTTGTCAAATTTATTTTTGATGGGTAGAGTAAAGATGAGATCAATGAGTATTTGGGTAGCACCAGAGAATAGGGGATTTTAGTTAAATTTTGATGGGAGCTCTCTAAGTAATCCAGGTTTGGCAGGCATCGGGGGTGTGGTGCGAAACTGTTTTGGAGAGGTCATCGTTTTATATGCTGGCCTATTGGTATAGTCACAGCTAACCAATCGGAGTTAATGGCTTTGTTGCAAGGGTTAAAAAATTTTATCTCTAAAAACATTGGGAGTAGCTGCATTATTGAAGGAGAATCTATAAACGTAATTAATTGGCGCAAGAATGAGCAATGCATTCCATGAGAACTAAGGTCTAATTAGCTGCAGATTATGGATCTGATGGCTTCACTTTCAGTTTCTTTTTGTGATGTCTATCGGGAGGCGAATTCCTTGGCTGACTTTCTTACTAAAGGAGAGGCCTCTTTGTCCACTCTAACTATTTTCTCTTATGTAATTCCTTTTTAGTAGATTTATAAATAAAATAAGGAATATTTATCAAAAAAAAAAAAGGTTGCAACCTTATAAAAATCACACCCAAAGATAAATGGTCTCTTTATTGACGATCCCGTTTAATTTGCTTTATTTTCTTCCCAACCTCACACACTATTTCTGGATTTTTTTTAATTTTTTCGCCATTTTCCCAGCTAAAACAAAAAAAAAATGTTTTAACTTGTCTTTAGAAAGAAGAATACCATTTCTTTGGAGAGAAAGTAAAGGTCATAATCGTCATTGTGATGGTACAGCTAGACAACATGGAGAGCATTTCTTTCTAGAAATCTTTTTTTTTTTGGAAATTATGTAATTTATGCTTCATTATTACTAATTTTAATTACTAATTTACGCTTCAATTACGACTAATTTGTCAAGGATATATCGACCGACAGTGGAGATTAACCCATGCTTTTGAAATAGATATTATCGATCACGGTAGGTAAATCTCGACTGTTCATGAATTTGGAGGTTGCCCCATGGTCTGCCATATATCCCCATTTGTGAATTTTCGATGTTTTTTTCTCCTTTTTTTGGGTAATACAAAGGGGATGACGAACCACTACCTATTTTTTGAAATCATTAGTATTTTTTAATGTATTAGATAAAAATGGAAGCCTAGATCTTAACTAGGGGACAAGTGGTACTGCCACCACGACCCCATATAAGAGCGCGGTCGTGCAGGCAAAATACCTATTGTTTAGGGATACAGAAATTAATCAAAATATACTTAATAATTTTCCCTTTTATTTTATTCTTATTTAGTTTTTTCCACTTTTCCCATTCAAAATTATATATATTTTAATAGTATTTTGTAAGTAAACAAAATAAAAATAAAGTTTATATAAGGTTGCAACCTGAATTACAGATGCACTTCAAAACTCCATCGGAAAAGGTTGTTTTAATGTTGAAAAAACCTCTAATTGATCATCTCGACATCGAGATGTATGAATATGAAAAAAAAAAAAAGATTTTGGGTCTCCGAAATAGTGCATCTTGCGATACATTATCTAGACTGTTCATTTTCAAAATTTTAATATGTTTATAGATCTACTTAATTTTAACTATTTTTTAAATTTAAAATTTTATAATTAGATATGAAAATAGATTTTGAGATAATCCTAAAAATTGTTTTCACCAAAATTATATGTTATGATAAAATTTGGTGGTGCGCCTTAATTGGATTGTTTAAGGTTGCAACCTTATAAAAACCACACCCAACTATACAAAATGGTCCCATTTGATAACCTTTCAGGAGAGAAAGAGAGAGAGAGAGAGGATATACTATAGTCCCGTTATGCATGGTATTCGCAATTTACTGGAACAAGGATAACACACCACATGCAAGGTCATCAACGTCAGATTTTCAAAACATTGGCATCTATGCCAGATTTGAAAACAGTATTCTATAATCCCTACCGTTCTATATATATATATATATATATATATATATATATATAATGTA